ACTGTAGGATTATGACGCATGAGAGGAGTCGTATCGTAGGTTCCTGTCCATTCAACACGTGGTACAAACACAGTCCCTGCCACCCGTGAGTCGAGGTGATGCTTGGTAGTGACGGCCAATCACAGGCTCGCCTGCTACCAAGAAACTACCAAGAATTCTATGCTCCGTCCAATCGCCGCTCGTATCGCTACCACAAATGCAGGCCAATCAGCACTGGTATTGCTACCACAATATGATGGCCAATCAGCGCTCGCATTGCTACCACGATATGATGGCCAATCAATGCTCGCATTGTTACCATGATATGCTGGCCAATCAGCGCTTGGAGCGCTTTGGACATCTGCCCACCCCCCGCGACTGGAAAATTTTGAAATTGACAGACGAAAACAACGGACTGTACTGCTCAACAAACATTTTGAAAAGTAAGTTATTCCTTTGTAATATTTTTTGTCAGTGCAAGTACATGTGACAAACAAAGTACTTGTGACAGCTCCTGCAACCAGCTCCCCTCTCCCTCAGTCAAAACCTGTGCCTACTCCTGCAGCACAAAGCTGTAAGTTTTACAAAAGTATTGACTGAGTTTCAGTGTTTGTTGCTATACTAACTCCAAATGTATGTTTCTCATAAAGACTTAATAGCAAATTGAAACTAAATGTTTATCTTTTGTCATGTAGCCCCATTGGACCAGTTATCAGAAGAAACTGGTGTTCTTACACTTGAAGAGTCCACTTCACATGATGTAAGGACCCACTTCCTTTATAAATGTATATACGGTGCTCTAATAGTATTAATAGTAGTGAATGCTGCTATAAAAGGTTCTTAAACTATCTTTGATTTTAGGACACTGTTGGACCTGATAATATTGAGGGGTACGGAGCCGTGCAGGACTTGGCCGAGTTTTTAGTTAGCCTCAGAGGCCACCGTCTTGCCTTATCTGGGGAGGAGTGCACCCAAATCATCACCCTGTGGCAGGCACTTGGGGACTATGACAAGAAGAAGACCATCTATGCTCCACGTCACCAAGCCACTCTGAAACAGGGACGATTCAGGGCCACTAAGAAGATTGTGGCACCAGGTGTGGAGAGCACGAAAAGGTACAGTAAATTTAGCAACCATAGGGTCTTGATGGTCTGCAAATTTTCAGAATAACTGAAACTGGTAAAAATATTGTATTGATATTGTATTCTAAATTAAGAGCTATCTTACAGACAATACTAAACAAAAATTCAGCAAATTAACAAAATAAAATTTGACAATTAAAGTCCACAACAGGTTAAGGATCATGCATTGAAAACAATCTTATATTAATAATGATAATGTGTATTTTGTTGTCATTTTCAGGTGTTTTGTTGGGGCTCACAGTCCTGCACTGTGGCCTGACTGCAACAGAGTGGTGGAAGCCATCTTCACAAGGCTCTGTGCTCTTTACACAAATGCTGTGCGCTGTCAAGGGGTAAGAGTATCAAGATTCACAAAGGATGGCCAGGGTCTATAAGCACATTCGGGAGTGCATAATTACAAATGCCAAGGTGATGAGTGACACCACCATTCAGCTGCCAGAGGTGAATGCTGCAACAGTCACACAATGGTGAGTAAATCATGATTAAAGAATAAACAAGCGTCTGATCCTGCTCCTAAACTGCAGCTAAACAGTTTTACCTCTGTAAACTACAGGAGAGGGTGTCATTAATTGTGATCATCATCACAGCTGTGATCAAATAGCAATCACATCCTCTTGCTTAATATTGTTTGAGCATATGTTTAATATTATTGATTATTGTATTATTTTTTTTC